CCACCCCATAATTTAAAAAAAAAAAAAACCCGGCACTTACTGGCAGCTCCAACTGCCTTCTGGCTGACTGGGGCCCCACCCGCACAGTGCTGGGCAGAGGGACAGCCCCAGCAGCTCCAGCCCAAGCCCTCCTGTCCCCCACTGCCCTGTACTGCCTTGAGGGGGCTCTGCCAGGAGGCCCTGGAGCCTCCACCACCACTGCTTCTAAGGTAAGTAGAGGCTTTTTTTTCCATCATTTTTTCGGGGGGGGTGTTGTTTTTTTTTAAGTGACGGTGCCTGGGGTTGTGGGGGTAGCCATGGGGGCCTGGGGGTGCAAGTTAGGGAGTAGGGCTGGGTGGGGCAGCCATCGGGGAGGGGAGCTGTAGCAGCTGGAAGAGGATGAGGCCAGCAATCGGGGGGCTGGGGTGGGGCATGTGGGCCTTGCAGGAGGGTTGATAACCCCTGCAGGGTCCATTTGGCCCCTGTTGGAGGGCCGTGGTCCTTGATTTGGGGCCGAATCCCCTGTTTGGGGGCCGTAGCCCTTATGTGGGGACTGAACTCCCTGTTGGGGAACCATAATCCCTGTGCAAGGGCCATCACCCCTGTGGGAGGGCAGCAAAATGTATATTCATGAATTCATGAAACGTATTTAGAGTTCACTTTATTATTATGATAAGAGACATGCTTTAACACTAGATATATCAATAAACATTGTCCAACTGATTGCTGTCTCTCTCTTTCTTTTTAGAATGGTCTTTTGTTTTACTTGTAGAGGTACATGGATTTTGCGGTATTTTACTGAGTGACTTTGGGATTTTTTTTTATCAGGGATTTTTCAGTTTTCCAATAGGGAACACCAGAATTCCTGCTAGGACCCTGCCTGCTCAGAGCTGGCACCTTGGACCCAGCTGGCTGTGGCTGACCTCCTGGCCAGTTGGGGTCAGGAGGACAGGCTTTAACAGTTCAAAGCAGGCCACCACACCCAGAACATCTTTTGGGCAATAGCTGCCCAGATAGCCAGGCAGGGGGCACACGTGGCAGTAGTGCCACACAGAGGCCAACCCTGCAGCCACAGCCCACTGGCAGCTGGCCCAGAGGGGCAGATGCCTCTACTGGCTGTGCAGTCCCCATCCAGGTCTGGCAGGTGCGCAGCATGTCACAGCCAGGCAGCAGCCCCCACTGCCAGACCCCTGCAGTGGGTAGAGGGTGCAGGGAATTCTCAGGGCTGCTTCAGCAGTCCAGCTGCTGAAGGGTAGTGTCCCCAGGTACCAATTGGCTGGACCCCATAAGCTCCTGAGAGCTAGTAGCCTTGAGCTACTTGCCAGGGTGGCTTTTTATACTGCTGGGGACAGCACAGATCCTGGCCCCGGGCTCTAGCTCCCCCTGGCTGCAGATCTGGGAGGAGCCAGGCAGAGTTATTTTGCCCCAAGGGGCAAAATTTGCTCCACAACAAAGTGCATGTCCAAGCACATGCACTGAGGCAAAAAGCCCCAGCTCAGATTTGCACTACTTCTATTTGAGCTGCTGCAAGAACACGTGCTTGCATGTGTGGACATGCCCACTGATGACAAGTCACTGAGCACAATGATCCAACAGTATTTTCATGTGCTCCATGTTTCCTTATGAATGAGAATGTCATGGGAGACAGTTTCAAAAGCCTTGCTAAGGTCAAGGTACATCACATTCACTGCACTCCAACTATCCATAGATTCTTTCTTCTTCCCATAGAGGGAAATCAAGTGGGTCAGGTATGGCTTGTGTTGGTGAATCCATGGTGGCTGATCATCTTATTTTCCTTCAGATGCTTCATAATAGATTCCTTAAGGACATACTCCATGATCTTTCCAGGTATCAAGATTAGACTGACTAGT